TTTTTGAAATAGGGTGTCACTCTGTCGCCCAGGCTAGAGCGTAGTGGGCCAGTCATGGCTCACTGCAGCCTCAGACCTCCTGGGCTCAAGTGGTCCTCCCACCTCAGCCTCCCGAGTAGCTGGGACTACAGGCATGCACCATGATGTCCAGCTAACTTTAATTTTTTGTAGAAATGGGGTGTCACGCTGGGTGCAGTGGCTCACACCTGTAATCCCAGCACTTTGGGAGGCTGAGGTGGGCGGATCACACGGTCTGGAGTTCAAGACCAGCCTGGCCAACATGGTGAAACCTCATCTCTACTAAAAATACAGAAAATTAGCTGGGTATGGTGGCATGTGCCTGTAATCCCAGCTACTCGGTAGGCTGAGGCAGGAGAATTGCTTGAACCAGGACCCGGGAGGTGGAGGTTGCGGTGAGCTGAGATCACACCACTGCACTCCAGCCTGGGCTACAGACCAAGACTGTATCTCAGAAAAAAGAAACGGGGTCTCGTAATTATTGCTGGGACTGGTCTCATGCTCCTGGCCTCAAGTGATCCTCCCACCTCAGCCTTCCAAAGGGCTGGCATTATAGATGTGAGCCACCATGCCTGGCCCATTTCAGTACAGTGGCTCATGCCTATAATCCCAGCACTTTGGGAGGCAAGGCTGGCAGATCACATGAGGTCAAGGGGTTCCAGGCCAGCCTGGCCAACATGCCAAACCCCATCTCTACTAAAAATACAAAATTAGCCAAGCATGGTGGTGCACGCCTGTAATCTGAGCTACTCGGGATGCAGAGGCAGGAGAATTGCTTGAATCCGGACCCGGGAGGTGGAGGTTGCAGTGAGGCAAGATGGCGCCACTGCACTTCAGCCGGGGCGACAGCGAGACTCCCGTCTCAAAAAAAGAGAAACTTGCCCCTCAGCTTGTGCAATCAGTCCTTCAGGGTGTGAAGTAACAGGCAGGTGGCAGTTGGGTTCTGGATGTTTCTTTTGATTTCCTAACTTACCATGATAATTTCTTCTCAAGGGAAGAATCCCTGGGCCATCCTAGAAAGATGCCTGGACTTGGGGACCAAGGTCCCATCCTCAGCCCTAATGCTCTCAGGGTCTCTTTATTTTTATTTTTTTGTAGAGACAGGGTTTCACCATTTAGGCCAGACTGATTTTGAACTCCTGACCTCAGGTGATGCACCCATCTCGGCCTCCCAAAGTGCTCGGATTACAGGCGTGAGCCACCATGCCCGGCCAGGGTCTCTTTTTATCAAACAAGAGCTGTGGCTGTCATTCCTTTAAGGTTTTGTGTTCTGTTTTGCTTTTTGAGACGAGGTCTGCCTCGCCCAGGCTGGAATGCGGCAGTGCAGTCACAGCTCACTGCAACCCTCTCCTGGGTTCAAGCAGTTTTCCTGCCTCAGCCTTCCAGGTAGCTCAGACAGACTACAGGCATGCACTACCAAGCCTGGCTAAGTTTTGTATTTTTTATACAGATGGGTCTTGCTATGTTGCCCAGGCTGGTCTTGAACTCCTAGGCTCAAAGAATCCTCCCACCTTGGCCTCCCAAAATGCTGGGATTCCAGGTGTGAGTCACCGCACCCGGCCCCTTAAAAGGTTTTTTTTTTACCTGAAGCAGGGGGAAGCAGACACGGGATAATCATGGCTTTTAAACTGAAATGGTTTTATTGAGATGTTTCGGCTGGAGGAGACACTTTTTCTGGCAGCATTTCTGACTCAAGGTCCCTCTGGGCTCACACTCTTCCCATGAGACAGTCACATCCCTGTCCAGTCAGCTCCGCAGAGGCCAGCCCTGGAGCAAAGGCGGACTGGGGGCCGTGGCGAGGCCCTACTCCGCTCCGTTCTGGCCAGCGCTTCTCTAGACTCTAACTTGTACTGTTGTCCATAGCAAGGGACATTTCCACTGGAAGTTCATAAAGATGGCAACAGCCTCATTTCTTCCTAAGTGAACTGAGGCCCAGAGGAGGGGGAGGTTCCCATTAGGGAAACAGCCAAGGCTCCACCTACCCAGGATGGTGAAATCAACTACATGTAATGCTTTCTAAGAGACAAGACAGAAGTCTCTAAATCCAGAATATTAAATATGGCTCCACCTCTATAAATTATCTGTCCAAGCTTATCCTTACAAACCCCAGCAACCAACAATAGCAGTTAGGAATCCAAATTAATAGCAAAAAAAGGACACAGATACCAGTGTTGGAGAATGGTTTTGGTTACGCGGACAGGGTGGCCGCTTATCCTAAATCCTGGGCATCCATTGTCCACACCCGGAGCCAGGTTACCCCCGGCACCAGGTGCCCGCCCCACAAAGCCTGTATCGGGAGACGGCTTGGTGGCAGGGCTGCAGCTCCCACAAGTAACTGTCCTTTCCCGGGCTGTGTGTCCATGGCCAGGTGGTCCTCAGGGTGGCTGGTGCTCCTTCCAGGAGCTGTGATTGCAGTGGGCTTGAAAGTTGAGTAGCTCTGGGAAATGGTCCTCGGAAGGCAGTGACAGGTCCGGGAGCACAGCGGTCCCCTGGGCTGTTCGCCTTGGCTCCTGAAGTGAAGAGGAAAGGGTTTGTAGGTGAGGTTTGTCGTGATCAGTGTTTTGTTTTGAGAACCAGAGCCTCTGGTTTGGGGACAGCATTGAGCCTTCCTGCTGGCTGAGAACAGAGCCCATCCATCAATCGCTGGGTTTCTTTTCTTTTTTTTTTTTTTTGAGACGGAGTTTCGCTCTCGTTACCC